AAGTGAATGATTTTTGCGCCGTTCGTAGCTGTGACGAACTTGTCGTACTGTACGATCAGTATTAAGATTACTACTTAAATTAACACGTTGATTAGTGCCACGTAATCAAGGCGTTAATTGAGATTTGCCACATCGTACATGTGGACGAATAGTTCGTATGAAACGTTATTTGGTTTTAAAACTTACTTTAAATCTAACCCGCTGAGTAGTGCACGTAATCAAGGCTAATTGAAATTTGAACATCGTACTGTACGAACTTGATCGTACCCATACGATGAAACAGAGACGAAGTATGATCGTCCCGGATATCGTCCGGTACATCTCTGGTTTTTGTCACATCGTACATGTACCGATGTCAATCGACCATTACGTGATGAACAGAGACGACATCCGATCGTCCGGACCATCGTCCTTGACGAATAGTATGTGTTGAATCGTACCGTACGATATTGTTATATCGTTACAGACGAATTGTTTTTGTACTGTTCGTACACCTTCGTACCAGGACGACGGGCTGTATATTGTAAGATCGTACTATACGATGATGAATCGTACTGATACGAAACGCAGTAACGGCTAATTTTGAATTCAGAGCTTTTTGGAGCCTTTTTTAATATGCCAATCAAAGTTCTTTTTTGGGTAAGATTTTAGAGAGGCCTCGTGAACTGTGATTAGAGAGGGATTCCAAGGGAGAAACTCAAGAGAAATTCTTGAGCGTTGAGAGGAAGGATGGAGGTGAGCGTTAATAAACAACAGTCTGTACAAAAAAAAAGGCTCCACTATTCTGTGAGGGAGAAGGAGCGTGTGAGGCGAGATCACAACGGTGCCTCCCAAGAACTCGCTGGCACCTTGCTCCTCCTGTGGCCACCGAGAAGGATTGAGGGAGGAATCTCCAAAGGGAAAGGCTCGTTGCACCGTTACTCGAGTTCTCTGCCTTCTCCAGAGAGGGAGATAAAAACGAGAAGTTCTTGCCGCGGCCAGGAGGGCGAAAAACAGAGTTTGGTCTTCCGCCACGCCGGGTTTGCCGTGAAAGGAGGTTTGTACAGGGGCTTCTCCGCCTTGCCAAAAGGGGGCGAAAAGGAGAGACTATTTTTTAGTGAAAATCCCGCCGAGTGGAGGACCCGGGGAGTGGACGGTGAGGTCATATTATTTTGACCGAACACTACTAAAAATCTTGAGTAGATCTAAATGTGTTCGTTCTTTATCATTGTTACTTTTTTGCTTGCACTTTTTAATTTTTCATATCATATTGCACGTGGTTTTTTTGATAAAGCAAAAATTGCGATTGGATCTTTATTTTAATATTTCAAAAAACAACAAAAAATTAGAACTCATGTTTAGGGTAATTTTTTATTAAAGAAAACTTTTGTACAATTCACCCCCTCTATGTCGTTTATTAAGTTCACAACAAACCCAAGAAACTTCCCTGAGTTACCCCAAAAGCCATTTCAAGGACTTCCATCTTGAGGTTAGCCGTACGACGAAAGCCTGTGTTCAAATTACAAACCCTTAAATCAAACAGATGATCGTCTCTTTCTTTGCTTTTGACCACGAGATTCATCGAGTTTAGCCAGCATATCAACATTGTCATAAGAATAGTTCCATCAAAGATTTCTGGTCATTTAGCATGTTGGATAGTCGCAATGAAACCGCATTCTTAAGGCCCAAAAGCATTCACCTTTTAATGGAAAAGTTCTTATGAAACAGAATACTAATGCACAATAATAGAGTATGTCTCAAAAGCAGAATGATTATTGCTCGTGCCTCCTAGGGGCCATTTTATTTATGGTTAGTCTATACCCGAGGACCTCCATAAAGGAAAATGTAGGACCATGAGAAGACAAGCTAATATCAATTCATTGAGTTCAAGGGCATGGCAATGGAACTCGATCTTGTAGGAACGATGCTTTATTCAAACTCTAAAAACAAGTCAACACATACGCGAATCTGTCCATTCTTTTTTTAAAGGGGACAACAGCTGGCTAACCAAGCAGGCGATTTTTCCCTCGGATAAACACCAGCTTCAATTAATTTTGTTCCCATCTTTCTTCAATCAACTTGCTGTTCAATTTCCGAAATCATCATGTCCTTCTAGAGAGACTTGTATGGACGGAACAACATTTGGTTGAATTGGCAAGTTTGGGACTGCGTATTTCTAGGATTTAAGTTCCTAGTATTTCATCATAACCTTCCTATCAAACAAGCTACTAAAACTCATTCGTCACAGACGTGTGTACCATACCATTGGCATCAGTTTATCTAATTATAACAAACATTTATGAAAAAAGCTGGGCGTGGTACTTTTCTTCAGACGCCACAATTTGATTTCTTTCAGTTCTATCAATGTGTGCTCCAAGTCGGAGAATAGAATCTTTTATACATATCAAATCTCAGGCGTGTGTAGGTGCATGCCCTATTTGAAGAGTATAAATCTGGGTCGTTGACTTAGAGCACTGCGTAAACATTACAACTCTCTCAAACGCGTTGATAGGTTTTTCTGTAAAGATCATATCAACTTTCCAGATTAGATTTTCTAGGTAAGTGAGAACCAAACAGAGGAGACATTCCATCTTATCCATCTATTGCGTCCGCGGTAAGTATACCAAAGCCAAATTACCATATTTATTTTTCTTTTAATTTGTGAATTTAGGACCTTCGCATATACTATATTCATGTTCTTTGTGGCTTCGAAAACTCTAATAATTGGACCACATATAGAAGGCGTGCACTCTTCAAGCTATTGTATGTGTCTATCGCAAACGGCACAGATCGTTTTTTAGCGAACTTCGGTAAATATTATGTTTTGTTTCCGCACTTTAGTGAGTGATATGTGCTCGCCCGATCGACCGCCAATTCACGTTGTCGCTAGAATATTTTGGGCGCTATTTTTGTGGCGGTACGTTTAAGTGCCAAGTATCGAGTCAACAAGTGGCATGGCCAAACCCTATTCTTTATTTTAACCTAACAAATAAATTAGATCAACTCCGAACTTTTAAATTTCTCTAGAGCCCTAATTTTTGGGATGTCAAGACTGATTACTAGTTCAAAAACATAGCAACACCCATAACAAATGAGCCCAATGCCACTGATAAGTTTGAACAACTTTCATAAATAATCTTTAAAGACTGTCTCTCATTCTTGACACCCCTATCTAGCCAACCCATATCATCACAAGCCTAGTATTACTTTTTTAATTCATTTCTAGTCTTTTCATAATACTGAATGCTCCAATTTACGAGCGAAAAGTCTTTACAAGGACTAACTATACAGCTCATTCAATGAATCATCAGTACTTCTGCCAACCCATAAGTAGTACTACTTATATATATAAAATAATAGTATACCAACATATATACAATACATTATGAGTTTTTCACCAAAGCAATAGTCATTACACTCAGATCCAATTACACATTTTATTTTGACTTAGAAAGTGATCATATAGTGTTAGCGTGTCCCTAAGAGAGGCTACTCTGTTAAATTGTCTGGACGACTTTATTTCATCTCTTTATGTCTTCCGTAAAATCAAAAAAAATTATCATAAAGCCAACGGCAAAAAAAGTCTAAATCATAATATTTAAAAAACCAACCTATGTTAATACGTAAGAACATTCCGATTCAAAACCCTCACTCAAATATACCAAAATTTGCAATTTCATTTTTAAAATTTATTTATGTATACATTTTCAGCGTCCCTAAATACGATTTTCAACTAATTAGACAATATTATTACTTCTAAATCTTTCAAATTAGATTGATTGCTTCCAAATCCACTCTTAATATCAAAAAGTTTGACATAAGCAATTTACATCAAAATATTTTATGCACAGCCTTTCTTCATCTTTATCAAGGTTAAGCAATAGCAAGCATGTTCGGATATCAGGAAAAACCATAAGGCTCGCTCAAAGTGTTATGCATTATGCTGCAAAAAAATTCTCATTCTTACCTTCTAACATTCAACATGACCTCCAGTAAACCCATTCCAAGCCTTAACCATCCTGCTATAAGTTCCAAAGAGCACTACATAAACAATTATTATGCCGCTTCCAGCTCCTCCCTTTGCAATCCCCTTCCATTTCGTAGTAATTGCTGATAGTCAAAATGGCACATTCATATCTCCAAAATTGTCAAATGTCCAATATACTGGATTTCCAACTTTACACCAGAATCATTCACAACTCTAGACGACCCGCGTCTGATTAAAGAGCCCATACACAAAGCATTACACCATTACTATTCCTCCATATATCAACGACTTTATTATGTTATCATAACCAAAACTGATTCCTGTTCAAAACTGAATCAGGCAAGGACTCTTTAAGTCATCAAGTTGCCTTGTCGCGGAATCTAATCTTTGTCCCTATAAACAGAGCCAAAACACCAAAATTCTTATTAGCCATAAAACTTTCCATAGTATATCGAAACATGTTAACAATCCTTATTTAACCACATTTAATTCCACCCAGTTTTCAAACCTAGGTATCCCAGGATATTTGTGCTCGGTTTATACACCAATCCTTAATATGTGCAACAATTTGCATTTTACTCATAAATAGTTTTCAAAACCCGAGCATAGACACACGCTGATATTTGTGCTCGTTGTTTCCTCATACACTTATAATATGTTTCAAAATACAATATTTCTATACTTTACCCAAAACTCTTTTAACCCTATTCTAACCACCCATATTGCACATCTCGATAAGAGCAATATTTGGATCTCTTGACAAAAATAAGAGTTTATCATTAATAATATCCTAATGCACAACCTGTTAAAAAAACCAAGCATAAAGTTCTAAAGCGGTGATAGTGAAAAGTGTGAAATATCTTCATTTTTATAGCATCTAACGTTTAAAAGCAAGGCTTCTGAGTCTTCAAAAAAATCTCGTTCAAAAAATATTCTTTTTTTGCCATATCACATCTAGCGCAGAGAGAGAAGCTCCCGTTTTTTCAAAAATTTGTTATTCCGCGTGTTTCCGTCATCTACTCCGCCATTTTAGGTAGGAGATGCTGGTGTAGAAGTCAGGCCGCTGGTCACGGCGGTCCCTCCCGACGGTCCAATCTCCATTAGAGTAGAAGTTGATCATGGCTTTGAGAACGATTCAATGCGGCCAAAAATCTGGTTTCGTTACCTGGGCCGATGAATAAAAAGAGGCTATCTTCAGGCATCAGTGATAAAGATTTATGTGGAGAATGTTCCGAAGGAAGTTTTCAGGTTGAAGATAAGGAAAGGGCATTGCTTGTGACTTTGTATTGTAAAAAACTTCCCTGTTATAAGGCTTATGGAATTTCTCCTTCTAAGCCTAGCGATAATCAAGCTTCGTTCTCTGCGTTTGAAAATTTTTGTTATAGATTATGGAATTCAAATGTAATCCCCGGCAACAGTGCAGATTAATGCGATTCCCTGAGCCTCGGTTAACAAAAAATATTCAAAAATTTGGAAATGAAAAAGGTTGTAAATTCTGGATTTGTCAGCAAGGGAATGTCTTTCTTCAGAGATTATTCGGAATGAAGACTCTATTTTTAGTTAAAATGCCTGTTAAGGGTGATAATGGTTTTGGTATGAGCAATCCTGTGAATCAAGAAAATAACATATCAAAAGTAACTTTCAATTTAATAGGGACAAGTGTTGACAGAGGGATTGGCAAGGCTGTCAAACTTCATGAAGCTAGTGAGAAATTTTCGAATGTTACACACTCTAAAAAACTCTTTTGATGGGACTAAGGTCTTTTGCGTAGAGAAGTTCGTCTGCACATAGTGGGCAGTTGGAATTAAGACGTCCTCAATGCGCACAACTGTGGCCAATTTCATTTTACCACCCTAGGGGTGGATGCGTTCTTATGTTCTTTTAAAGAAATACTGAAGTCTATGGAGGGATTCTCACTGAGCGGAGGGCCTTTCCTCGCCGTCTTTAGAGGAAAGGGGTGGTTAAGAATCTAGAGAAAAGTTTTGGAGGTGATGATGCTAGGATGTGGTAGGAGAAGAAGGAGAAATTATTATGGTAATTACAGATCCTTATACCGGTCCATAAGCAAGACTGAATCTTTCTGAATATGAGAAGGGTTCTCCTTTAAAAGCAGTAGATTTTATTGAGTTATTCTAAAAGTGTTATTGATCCTGTGTTGAAAGATGAGGTGCTGAAATTATTCCTGATCTTGGTAAAAGTGAGGAGCTGTACTTTAAAAGGCTCCCAAGATATAGATCTAGATAATGATCGGTTCTCCTTTCTACTTAAAATGGAATGATAGAGAAGGGTTGCTTTGCAAACTCAAGTAGGCCCTATTGAATTACTTGCGAACTCAACTTGCGAACTCAAAATAGCCTATTGGATTACTTGCGAAACTCAAGTATTCCCTATCAGAAATCTGGATTTCAAACTTCAGAGAAAGAAACTTAAATCCCAATTGGGAAGGTTAACAATTATAAAATTGGCAGGAAGGGTGGTGGGTTGTTAAAGGTAGGAAAAGGGGGCAATTCCATTTCTTATCAATAAATGTCTTCCATAATTATTTTTGGAATTGTAGGGGGTTAGGAAAAGAGAAGCCTCCCATTACTTGAAGGAGTGTGTGAAAGAGCATGATATGATTCTTGTTGGTCTTTAGAGACTAAGATCTTTCTTATGATAGATTGAGTGAATAGTTCATTGGTAACATTTGGATTTTTCTATTCCCTGCTAAAAGGTTTATCTGGTAGGGTAGCGTATTATGGTTAGCTGAGAAGGACTTGGCTTCTTTTATTGTTTAGAAGCCTCATTTCTCAGTTGTTGTTGGGAGAATGAGGAATTGTTACTAAAGGCGATGTGGATCATTGCTTCAGTATATGGTCTAGTAATGTCATTCTTAGAAGACAAGGAGCTTATGGAGTAAACTTGAAGGGATTTCAAACATTAATCTACCCATTATTATAGGAGGCGACTTCAACTGTATAATGTCCCCAAGGGAGGATAAGAAAGAGGGAAAAAAATTTATTCTATCTCAAGGTGCTTTCAAATATGAGAAATTTTACATGAGGCAATGGTGTATCTACATGCATATGAAAAGTCATTGGCCCAAAATATAATAGGTGAATAACAAGGAAGGTGGTGCTCGGATAGTTGAAAAGATTGAACGGCGGGGTGGCCAACCTTATACATGTGCTGAATGAATTTGACAGAGAATGTCTTACTAGCAGATTTCAAGCGAAGGAGGAGCTGGGATAGGGTGGTTGATAAGCCTGGAATCAAATATTCCCCTGAGTATTGAATGTTATACTTACTCCATTAAATCTTTATTGAGGTGCAACATTTTAAGAGGAGATGTCAGCGTCAAGTCCTCTCCCTTTTTTATGAGCTTCTGTTCTACTGAGTCCAAGTTTGGAAGGAGACTTGGGTAGTCCTATATCCCCTAAAATTCAGAATCCTGGGTGAACCCATACTAATTCTAGAGCCTATAAGTATTTGTTTGGTCGACTCTATAAAATAGGTAGTCTTAGGATTGTTATGATAGAAGATTGGAGTGTATGATAGGAAACACTGGCATTTCCAAGTTTTCTCGCCAAAAAACCAAGTAGATCCAATGTAAAACTGCTGTCGCCGCCAGAAAAACAAGCCAAAAATCGGAAAGGATGGGAAAAAACCTGCAGAAAACACATACATGACTTCGCCTTGATATTTTAACTAGTAGTTGCAAGGAAAATAGCAAAGATACCAATGGATCCTCAATTCGATGAGGAGATCGTCTCTCCCAAATCTCAGACGCCGGCTAGAAGCCCAAAGAAAAACCTTAAATCTACGAGATCTCAAATTCAGCCAAATGTCAGATGCCCGAAACCCTAGGATAAAAACTGCCTATTTTAATGGATACAATATCAAAATGAATTCCCAAACAGTCACCTACATCAAATTCTCTCTGAAACCCCCCAAAAATCCTTCCTAAAACGCTTCTATATGAGCGGAACGGCCGCTCGTATTCTGGTCGAAAATCTCCGCCTGTTCTTGCAATTTCGGCCCGTGAACCGGTCCCGCTTGGACTTGGTCTAACAATACTTCCCCTCCCAAGATCACCTTATCCGCTAAGGTGAAAGACGACAACTCCATTCCTTCTTCACACAAACAGTTAAGATACTTTGAAAAGTTCGGTCCTTACACCTGTGCCCGGCGTTATACTCTCAGTCACATCTGAAAACAAAAGCCCTTTTTTCCCTCTTTCCTGTAATTCTGTCCAGTGAGCTTCTGGGTTATCCCCACGCCATCCTCCTATTGCGCTTCCCCTGGTATCTCATTATTGTTGACTGATGATGCAGGCACTCCTTTTGTGCTAAAGAGTTGTCGTAGTCTGTGTAGAGCCTCCTGAGCTGCTGCTCCTAGCTCCCTCTCAGATTATTCTGATTTTTTACCAGCTGCTGCCAACTTCATTGCCTCCTCCAATCACTAGGCATCAGATTTAACTGCCACTCGCGATCTCTGCCTTCAACCCCTCATGAAATTCCCCCCAAACGCTGATACTATAATGCGCTCCACCCTACTAGCCCAGGTGCCGAAACCGATCACGGTAGTCTTCTACTGATCCCTCCTGCACCAGAGCAAAGAACTGCTCATTAGAAAAGAGAAATTCTCCTCCGGCCGGGTCGGTTTTGAAACGTTTCTATTATGCGCATCTTTTGAATCCCTTTCCAAGTCCTGATAGGCTCCCTCCTGTCACGCCATGATACCATGCCAAGATCTTTTCTTCCAGACACAATCTGCCGCCGTCAGCTTCTCATCCTCTGTCAACCCAGACCGCAAAAGTAAACGCGTCCACCTTGTAGATCCAGCCATGGCCGTCTTCGCCCCAAAAATGGCATCTCAATTTCATCACCTTGGGATCTCCCCAGGTATCCTCCATAGACCCCCATTCCCCTTCAGAGAAGCATTCCCCCAATGTGTCTCGATCGTCCCTCCGACGCAATATAACGCTAACCCCTTCAGTACGTCACCTCTCCTCCCTTAATTCCTCATTCACCTCGACGACTTGTAATACCTTCAAATTCAGCACGCCACTTGACGATGACGTTCCTCCCTTCTTCGGCTTCAAAATCCCCCTCGACGTCTGAATGTCTTGTCGAATTCACACCTCGCATCGAGATCCCTCTTCCTACCACCAAAAATCACCCTCCCTTTCTGTTCATATTCCAATACTCAATCTCTTCCTCGCAAAGAGGCTTAGAGAGCAGGCCTGTCGTTTCTCTTCCTCTAGGATCTCCACCTCCACAATTCTCCTCCCCCGCAAGGGGTTCGGATTTCCTCCCATGCATGGCCCCTTCGGCGAATCTCTACTTACTTCCGATGTCGCCC